CACATACACATTTTGATCAGGCTCATCATTAACTAATGTGCAGAATCAGGAGCTGACAACATCCAGGTTTGACAGCTCTGAGTTCCATAATTTTCTGTACAATCATGGAGAATTTGAATACCTCCACACCAGCCTAAAAATGGACCTTCCAATCCTTGAGCCTCTAATATGCTTTTAATCAATGGAAGAAAAAATTATTAATTGTATATAGGGTGCATTCATAAACGTGATGCTGTATTTTATCACTGATCCAAGATGTCAATATTAGAGTCTATTTTACTTATATTTTAAGCAATTATACTTTTTTGCAATTCACTAATGAGGTATCATTTTCAAACTACTTTAAATACCCATTATGAAAAAATATTTGAAACTATTAAAATTACCTTGAACTGTGCACTTCTAGTATGTAATACATATTTAGTTAGCTTGTGCCTTTAGTTTCTTAAAGTTATATTTGTATTACATGCAGGAAATGCACTTTGTATTACCTAGAGCTGTGTTTTTTAATACTGCCTTGATTACTGTTGTTCTCATATTATGCCAAAAGGTCAAAGAATGAAATATGTTACAAATTTTGGCATTTTCCCAGTCTAGGTGCAGTCTAGGTTACCTTTTTGATCAATGTTTATTATGAGAATATGGATGTATACAGAATCACGTGACGTTACACGGCCCGGTCACAAAAGCAGAAGGCGGCCTTCATCCTAACAGTTTCAGAACCTTAGGAAACTAAAAAAAGATATTGTGTTGAGATGATGGTGCTAAAGTGGTAAGTTATTACTGAAAGAGCATTGGAGACTGAAGTTGTAGCTACACGTGGGCCAGGCAGCAGTGATGCTTGAGAACTATCACTAATAGCTTTGGACCATCTTGTTTGTGAACAACCTCAGATGGAGGCAGGGAATATTTCCAAGTCATGAGCCCAATTTCTCACTGTTGATTTTTTGGTCTTTTTTTGTTTTCTTTTCTTTTTTCTTCTTTTTTTTTTTTTTAAATTTTGCACTCTAGCCTAGATACCCAAATGAGAAAAGAGCAAAAAAAAATAAAAGTCATGACATGGAAATTTTTACTGTTATTTAGGTCAGTTAATTTGATGCTAGTGTTCTGCACTGCAAGCAAGGTTTTGAAAGCAGAAAAAATAAAATAGAAAATTAATTAAATATTAAAATAAAATATAAAATTAAAATTGCTATTGCACACTATCCTCTTGCAGAGTACCTACCATGAGAAATACGTGCTATATTTTTTATGACAGCCAAACAAATAGTGTGTACCAGTAATGTTTCCTTTGCTTTCATATTTATTTAGCAAATCTAGAACATTTCAAAGGTATAAATATATATATATAGATATCTATGTAGAACATAGCCAAATAAATATATATGAACTGATCAATGTGCAACTCGGTATACACAGCCCAGCTGGTTGGTTTGAGCTCTGGAATGTCCTCTCAGCTGCACACTAGTAGGTAGAGGTGGCCTCTCCATGGCCCCGAGCTCCCCAGCCCTGGCTCAGCTGGAGCAGGGCTCACCCAGCAGCAGCCTTTCCAAGGTGAGCATTGGCCACTGGTGCTGCTGGAAGCCCAGGGGTGGTTCTGAAGGTGAGGGCAGTTTAGGCAGAGGAGCTCCTGGCTCATCCAGAGCCAAAGGAGATGGGCAGATACATGGCAGGCATTTCCTTGCTCCGGGGGATTCGCCGTAAGTGGCTGATCCGACACAGCCGCGCTCCGCTCCGGCTGCTGCCAACAGCCATGAGGGTTTTCCGTGTCAAACACTGACTGTTATTAAACCCATCCTTGATACAAAACATCACCTGGTGGAAAGCATCCTGACTGTCAGAGGAATCAATTCTTGGCAGAAACCAGGAATGGTGGAGTCAGACTCGCTGTGGTTTTGTCCGGGCATTTCTCACCTACCATTGTTTGTCTAAGGAAATGTGTTTGACAATTTCCAGTTTTTCCTTAGATCTCGTGGTGGACTTTAGCCTTTTAATAAATGTTAGTATATCAGATCGTGTCCTTGACAGTATTTTACTTGTATGAACCATGGTAACACATTAAAATCTTCATACTCTTCAGGCAGAAGTGTCAATAAATGAGAAAGAGAAGCATAGCATACGATATATGTCAAAGTAATGTTCTTTTTTAGCTTTCTCATCAACAGTAAAAATGTTTACAATGTATGCCAAGATCTTCAGTTTCTAACACCAGTTAGAGGTTCTGATCTTACAGAAATTGTGTTATAATGGCCTCAGCCTCGTTGCTAGGAAACAATAGATCCCAATTTTTTTATTCCTGCTCTAACTCCTGTGCTGAATAGTGACTGGATACTGTACAGGTTTATGTTATATGGCTGCAGTTAAATGGTCTGAAGCATTTTGCTCTGGGTTTCAGACCAGAAGCATGCATTTTCTACAAGGACATCCCAGCAACACGCTGTAAATATTAAAAGTTAATATATTATGTGTCAATATTTGCAAAAGAAAGTACTTTGACTATTTCATTTTTAAAAAATAAAGGTGCAAACTGATGGTGTGTGACATTGTATTTTTTTACACCAGGTATTTGGGATATTCCAGGTGTGTCAGTAAAAGGTACTTCCATACAGTTAAATAAGGACTTCAGGCAATATTGGTTGTTTCAAAGTTGTGGGGCAGGATATTGTGAGCAAGATACAATTTTGCTTCTGTTTCACCAAAGTTCATGCATATAACTCTGCAGGTTTCATTGCAGGTGAAGTCCCAGGCAGCTTCTGTGCACAGGTTATGACATTTCATCAGAAGAAATATGAGAGAGAGAAAAAAAAAATAATAATAACCTTTGCTAAACGCCTTTGCACTCCCAAGAACTGAGTGGGTGAAGTCGATGGTGGTGTAAAAGAGAAGGAGCAAGGTTTAAGTACCTGCATATTCTGGAGACCTGCCTCAAATATGATGATGAATGACTCCATGTATCAAAAGTGCATATGAAGAGAAATAAAAAGCCTAGCACATGCAGCAGGGAATAGGTGATAATGAACCGGAGGGGCAGGAGTGTTTAAGGCTAAAGGAAAGGTAATGTGATGAACAATAGGTGGGAGTAGCTGGGCAGTAACCAGCATGAGGGCTGGGGCTGGAAGGGCTGTGTTGGCTGGATGAGGAGGAAGTGAGGCCAAAGGGACATTCTATGAGAAAAGGGAAGGAATCCATCCTGGGAGCTGGAATTGATTTAGTGCTGTGGGATGTCTGTCACGGGCAGCTGGGCAGGACTCAGTGGAGGCAAAACCAGAGCTGAGGCAGGATTAGTTCTTGCTGGGGAGAAGGCAAAGCAAGGAGGGCCTAGGCAAGGGTCTGAGTCCTACAGCAAGCTGCAAAGTCAGCTGTGGGAGCTGGGGCTGCCACACACAGAGGAAGGGGGGCAGGAAGGTTGTCAGGGAACAAGGCAGAGAAGCCACAGCAGTGAGGGGCTGCAGATCAGAGTGGCTGCAGCAGTGGTGGGAAGGAAGCAGCAAGCGATACAGACATTACCTGGGAAGTCATGCCCAGAAAACACAGCTACTGCCCTCTGAAAGGATCTTTAGCTCCTCACACTTAAGTCAATACATCAAATCTATACAATTTCCATATTACTATTCCTGTAACCAAACATTGACTCCTTGCCCCACAGGTTTCATGAGCTTCTCTCTGTTCCGACCTTATTTAAACTTAGAGCAAGTCCAGAGCCTTGGGCACCCGACAGAAACAACACAAACAAGCCTCTGCCTTAATAATTTACATCAGAAACTGAAACAACATTCTCAGCTTTAACCAAAAATGGCATCTCCTGACCTATTTTATGGCGTTGTTTTGTTTGTTTGTTTTTGTTCTGGAGTTATGAGGTTTTTTTTGTTGTTTTGGGTTTTTTTTTAGAACAGTAGTACACTTCTGGAGGCAACCATAGTGACCCCAGTTAGCCTCAGCTCACTTCACTGCTCCAAGTCAATAGAACATTTCCATAGGAACCAGACCTTGTGCCAAGTGTTTCCATCTACATTTATCCTCACCACAGGTACAATCATCTTCCAGGGACCATTTCCAAGAACACCCTCTTCTGCTCCCAGGAGAGTCTAGCTAAACCAGGAGCTTACTCCATGCTAGCAGCAGGCAGCTCAGTACCTCCATGGCTGATCTTTGTTGAATGATGTAACAATTGGGAGGGAGGGGGGGGAAACAAACCAAACAAAGAAACAAACACCAAACAACAACAACAAACAACCCAAAGAAACAAACAAAACAAACAAAAAGCAAAAACAAACAAAAAAAGGTTTTAAGGTATTTTACCAAAAAAGGACATTATGCCGGGTCTGGCACTGTATTAAGATAAAACTTGTTTCAACCAACAAGCATATATAACAACTAAGCTGTTCAAAAGCATCTCCTAATGTCTACCAGCTCAGGCAGGACAGTGTGGTCGTGGTGGTTCTCCCCTGCGTGTAAAAGCCCTGTGCGCTGCATGCGCCAGCAGTCACGTGCTAACCCTGCACAGCTGAGGAGCTCTGTAGATTCAAACCTCTTCTTCAAGAGCCCAGCAGCTTGGAAACACACAGATTGCTAAAGAAAAGCAGAGAACCTGTCATGCAAAAATAATTTATTTATTTATTTTTAATGGTATGCTGGGATATGTCAATTACAGAGAGTATCTAAAAGCAATAACTGTTTCCACTGCACTGGGTGTTCTCAGTTACTCAGGGCATTGCTTAAGTTTTTGGTCATTCGTGCAAACCACAGATTTTGTACACCAGGCAGTGGTGGCCAATTCTGCCAAGAGAATTTAAAAAAACGCCCTCTAAATTAAAAACATTCAAAACTCAACATTTCCTCCAAATTTTGAGTTAGAAATTCTATGAAATACACATTTCTGCAAAATGTTACAAAAAAAACTCATGGAGTTGTATTAACTATCATATAAATTGTTCTGTTCTAGAGCATGGACTAGAGGGGAGACTGGCAGATCTGGTTATGGCATGCTTGGAGAAACAGCTTCATGATGGCTGCAGGTGGAAGTCATGGCCTTCAGCTCTCCCTGAGAAAAATAATCACAAAGATATCAAAGGGTGAGCACTGCAAGAAAATGGACCAATAATAAGGTTTGCACTTACATGAGCAAGGGCAGGATAGCACTCAGGAATACATAGTCAAAAATCTATTTTCTCATCACACTGACAGACCTTGTCCCAGTGAGCACCCAAGTGCCAGCATAAGGCACATTTTTTGGCAATGTTACCCTGCTGGCTAGTTGAGATCAGTGATGCCAATAAGCCTAAGGCCTCCATCCCAGCTGAAGCTCCCTCCACCCCACCAGTACCTGGTGGGTATTTGGCTTTCGCGTGGTTGACAACTGGGTGCTGCAGGGGTGTGACGATGCCTTGGTTGGGTTTCTGGAAGGCTGAAATAAGGTTGTGCACTTTCCTAAAGAGCCTCTGGTGGACCCCGGGCGCCGTCTGTGAAGCCAAGAGGTGAGAGGTGAGAGGGGATGCTGGGTGCTGAGCATCTGTGCCGGGGTCAGGGAGCTGGCACAGAAGCCTTGTCCTCAGAAATGCACACAGCTCCAGGGAAGGAACCAGCTCCTCACTTGGACCCCCTGATGTGCCAATTTTAAATGAGTCACCGAGCTGTACCACCCTTCTCCTTCCCCAGGGCACTGTGGCCTCCTCGAGCTAAGAGCCATAACCATATAGAAGGCTGGAAGAGGGAGGAGTTCTGAATCACTACACAAGAAATCCAGAGCCCCCCATGCTAATTAGACAATTCCCAAGTGATCATTCACTATTTCTGACCCTGATTTATTGCAGCCAGTGATTTAACCTCCAGCCTGGAGTTTTGCTTTTCCCAAGACTCATACATGGGAAACCAGTGGAAGTCATGGGGGAGGACTTGTAGCAGGTCTGTGTAACAGCAGAAAAACCTCACTGCAGATGCTGACATTACCTGGGGCCAAAACAGGCTGCAGCTTCACTAAGGGAATTATCCTCCATGGGGTGGAGGTCTCTGGAGGTCCCAGCATCCTCCCTGAGACCCCAGTGCTTATCCTAGCATGCCAGGTGCACTGCCAACACCCACCCCATCCCAAAAACCCATCTGCTTGGGCAATGCACATCTTCAGTGTGCTTCTGATGCCTCACAGCAACAACTGAGTGAATTCTTCCTGAGTACTGTTCCCGAGAGTGACAGATAATTTACTCCTCAGTAATACGAGTCACTTTTACTCCCACATCTGCTTCTGAGTCACCCCAGGAATCAGACTTCTTTTCCAGAGCAGTGCAACCACTTCTAATACAACAATAGTCAAAGAATTCTGCCTCTCTAGAAGTTATTTAATGTTTGTAGTCAATCACTAACATGCAAATAGAAAGCTAATTATTAATTAATACACAGGGTACATCCATAGAACAAAACCTTCATCAGAGAAATACAGACTAGCATTCCTATTCCATCAACCAAAATAGTTGCCCGTATTGCAAACGGTGTTATTCTACACTGGAATTACCAGTTTCTTATCAAATGGGTGAGAATATATATTTTGTATTAAGTTTTGGTTCCCCTATATATGTTTTGCACCAATGATAAATTAACCTGGATATAAACTAAATTTAAACCACTGAACATTGAAAATAATTTCCTTAAATATTCTGACATGGTATATGGAATAGGAGGGAACTGATTGCGCTTATCTAATTATAAAAACACAATATTTTTACGTTTAAAATGATGCAAAATAATGCACTATTGAATTATGCAACAGCTGAAGTGTAACAGGGAATTAATTTATGAATTCAAGACTGTCAGAAGTGGCACCAAGACATCCTAGTGATGGACTCATTCAAGATCGATTACCTTTGATGAAAAACAGACTATGCAGAAACATGAATAATTTTAATATATTTCATTAAATCAATACAAACATCAAACAGGATGTAGAAATTTTCAGAAGAGAAAAGAGAAATACACACCTCAGCACTCCAGGACCCAGATTCTGTCTTGGACACTCGGTAGGTATAGACATAACCCTGGTGCCTGTGGGGGGAAAAAAAGTATATCAGAAAAATCAACAGGTATTTTTTACTCATTTCTACTGCCAGGTTTCACAAGAGGCACACTCTGTTATGGGGGAGTCAGTTCATCTGCTAACCTTTCTTTAAAAATATATTCACCCATAAAGCCTCTAGGTAGATTAAAAAAACCTGAAGCTCAGGTCAGATGCAGTTCAACCTACTGGGTTCCTTTGGATGAGAGGACTCAGTCTGACTCAGATCTAGTTTAGCAATGACCACACACATCCCAAACATATTCTTCTTGGAAAAAGAAGTGTATTATTGGCAGGTAACATTGCTGAATAGTGATTTATTTAAATGCAGATGTTCCCAAAAGCACAAGTTTAATTTATTTGGAAATCTAGACCCACAAAAGCAAGGCAAATTACTCTTTGCCTTGCCTGTATATTCCTAATTCTCAAATACTGATAAATGAGACTTATCAGGGTGTAGAAACTTTCATCTTTTTAAATCTAATTTGAGTCATTTAAATCTAATAAGGAGTCATACACTAATAACAAAAGACATACTCATTTCCAGATTCAGTCTTGCTCCTCTTACAAACCCAACACATGGAATGATTTACATGGTAGATTATCATACCAATATAAAAAAATTTAACTCAGAAACAGAGACAACTAATAGTAGTTCCCTGGGTGCAACATTAGTTTAGATGGTATCAGATAAAACATATTGTATTTCATAGCACATAGCTTTACATGAAACCACAGCAGGATTTTAAAGACCATTCTGTATTTCAGCACCAATTCTTACTCTTAAGAAAGCAGAAAAATACTGTATTTCTTTCCAATAATACATGGTGTTACAGTACAAAATGGTGTTACAGTACAAAATAGCAGAAATCATCAATGACATAGATACCATATGATTGCAATTACTTACACTCCGTGTCATGGCTTCTGGATAAATTCTAGTTAAAAAGTCATTACTGCACCCTTTGCAGAGCAATGTCTGATATAATTTAGCCAAGCAGGAAGTCGTTAACAGTTGTCACACTGCTACAAACCCATGGAGCAGGAACATAAACGCCTATTGTGATTTGTGAGCTCTCTCCCCCACACTCAACTCCCACTGTGATTAAATGCAAGGGCAGGAGACATGACACTGTTCCCTCCCATCAGGGTTGCTGCTGGGACAAACTCCCTGTGCTGCACCTGAGGCACTACCCTTCTCCTTGGCTGTGGGAATACACCTCACTGAGTCCCACGATCCCACCATAAATTCATCCATCTCTTCCTGTGGATTTTACAGGTGTGTATATATGTATATATATATATACATCTGTGTATTGGGAAACACCAGAGAGATCCTGGCATTTTGTCCACTCTCTTAGAAGTGGGTATCTGACCATCCCCTCAGTGATTATTTTTTTTTCAAACCTCAAAACCAACAGAATCAGTATATAACAATCTAAAACTCTCTTGCCTCCTGTTTTTAATAATACACTGTGCACATTGTTCTTGGTTGTCCCAAAGCATTCTGACTGCTTCAGTTCCCTTTAAAATCTGATTTTTCCACAAGTGGTTCAGTTGTCTGGAAAAGAACCATCTGTTGTTTCTTTCATCATTTTCTCTACCCAAGTGATTGCATGACATGAAATGGCTAAGGGGTTGGGGTGCTGCCCTGACTCTGAAATATCTGATGGCTTTCAGCACTCTGCCAAAAGGGTTTGCTAAGCCAGACAAATTGAAAAATAGAGGTCAGATAAAGTAATATTCAGGGCCAGAGCAGGGTGGGGTATAACACAGACACCAAAAACTTCCTCTGTGAGATATTTCAACTGATGCCAGAGAAAGGACAAAGGATATCTCAGATTAAAAACCCATGAGATACAGAAAAAGGATGAAGAATTTGGGAGCATAGACTCTTTGAGCACAGTGCGGAGAATGGGAGGAGTATGACATCACTGTCACAGCATTGCAAGGGACAAGTAAGAAACATTCACCTAGGAAATGTAAATGCTTTTCCCAGAGGAGGGAAAACTGAAAAGCCTGAAGGTGTTCACTGTGCATATGCTGAAAAACACCATTTAATCATCTGGTTTTGGCTCTGAAGCCATCAGTAAACACAGCCACTCTGTCGATGGCAGATGGCCCAAGACCACCACACCTGCTGCTTCAAAGGAAATGCACACAGGAAAGAGGACATATTTTGTTAAGAAGGTGAACAGATAGATCTTCCCATCTAGCTGCTTTCCACTGGGATCTTTGTTTCCACAAAAATGAATTACAGCTCTTCTGATAATTACTCTTCCAACGAATGTGATCTTATCAAAATTTTCTGTTAAGCAGCAGGAACTCACTTCATTACCACTTCAAGGAGGTTTTTGCCTTCCATGTGCAAGTGACATGATTTTGATGAGCCAAGTTCTCTTTACTTCTACGTGGGCACAGCCTCCTGTGAGAAAGATTTTTATGATTTTTAAAGTACCCAACATGAATTAAGAACGGTGTGGACTGAAGGAAGATCAAGGTGTTGTTCTTAAAACAAAAAAAATGCTGGTAGTCACTTGGGGGCCTCTCACACACATTATGCTTTGAAGCCACTTCTTAGTGACATGCAGACCAAAACCACCTCCAAGTGACCTGAACTTCACTGTCTGATGGACAAAACCAACAGGAGAGGGACACAAGTCACAGAGAGAAGGATTTCAGAGAGCACTCCTACATTGACACTGGCATACTAGCACAACTTGGAGGAGGACCAGCTCTCAATACCTGGGCCAAGATCCAACAAAGGGCTTCCCCATCCCTTTGTCTGGCCTGAGGATGGCCACAAGTCTCAGCCGTGATTACAAAGCTCCTCTTTCATGCCAGTGAAACTCAAGGGACAGGAGTAATAATGAATTAAGAACTTGATGAATGAGGTCCTATAAATTTTTTATCAAAGGCAAAAAATGCCACCATGCTGATGATAGGAAGCAGAAAACAGACATTCCCGTAAGGACAGCATTGGAGAGCACTTACAAAAGAGTAGTTTGGTCACCACTGATGACATTTTTTATGTCATCTCACTTATTTTTTCATCTCTACAACAAAGGGTGCGTTACACCACCTGGGAACTGCACTGGCAGAGCCTCTACTGCAAAACCACCACTGAGAAAACTTTGTCAAGGGAAAAATCAAGACAAATTTGCTGTTAGAGTAAACAGTCCACGTTATAGCTAGATAATTCCTCCCAAAGTACTTCAAAGGCATCATTCACAGGTGACATACTGAGACAGCATCTGTCTACCTGTCCTCTCTACTCCTCCTTTTCAACTGTGATCAGACTTGTTAAAGCCACATTTACTTTAGCAGGTGAACAATTACAATCTTCTGCACCACTGAAATAGCCAGATGATATTAACTGCATGCTGCAGATTAAAATGAACTATGACATTTCAGCTGCATGTTATGTTTTTAAATAATTTCCAAATACTTTGTATCTCAGCTGGGAAATTTTATTAGACTAATTTGTATTCATTTTTGGGTCCAAAATGGAAAAAAAAAAATAATATATATATATATATATATACACATATAAAGGGAGAAAGACAGAGAGACAGGGGAAAACCATGTCAGCAATAAATCACATTAGTTTATTTCTCTTTACATAGCTTTCTTTTCTGATTTCCTTGCACTATTTCAATCAGCTCTTCTTACCAGGTATATTTGCATTCTGACCTTAACTTGGAATTTCACTTTACAATATTGCTTAACAACCAAAGAGTGGTGTGGCCTACAAGCAGTGGTCCTGGACATATCCACTGCCCATACTCAGTTTCCTATAGCTTTGCCACATATCAGCCTTTCAGACTCAAATTTTATTTTTCAGGTATTTGCCTCAAGCTGCAGTAATGCCAAAAAATGGGGACATTGTAAGCAAATGGTGGTTTTCCCATGTTTAAAAAAAAATGTATTTCAATCATTGGGGTTTTTTCCCCAGTTTTTAGAGTAAGATGTAAGATTTGTTTGAAGGGAGATGAAGCAGTGGTGGCTGTTTAGGCTGCAAGAGAGGTGCTCTCTAAAAGCTGTTAGCAATTGTAGCTGCACCGTGCCTGAAGTGGCTTTACCAGGGGCATTCAGCTCAGCAGTGTCCACCATCTCAAGCCATGAGCAATGTATGGATATTGCCTGGCCTGGATTAGTGGCGGGGGGGCTGGGGGGGAAACAGAAGGTAATTTAGATTAGGGATCTTGGAAAGGAAGATTGGGACTGAGTTTGGGGGGGGATGCAGAAGGAAAGAAAAAGGGACCCATGTCTATCAAAACTGGGCAAGGAAAGAGCCACAAGGAAAAACTGAACCCCTGGGAGACAATAAGATTAAATGAGTAAAGAAGAGGATATACAAAGGTAAAGTATAAGGGGGCTTGAACTGGCAGCAGCACAGAATGCTGAAGGGCTGAAGAAGCCACGACTAGAAGATGGGTGGTTTGGAAGCAGAAAAGGTATGAAAGGTTGTACAGAAGCACACAGGGTTGTCTGAAAATCCATTCCCGTGCCCCTCACGTTGGGTACTGCAGACCTGAGCCTCCTGCAGCCTCCTTTCTCTCATCTGAAAAGGAGTTAAACTGTTCATCTCACAAACTGAGACAATGCTTAGAAACCACTTAATAGTATGGAGATGAGTACTCCTAATGCTTTGGAGATGAGTAATATATATATATATATATATACACATATAAAGGGAGAAAGACAGAGAGACAGGGGAAAACCATGTCAGCAATAAATCACATTAGTTTATTTCTCTTTACATAGCTTTCTTTTCTGATTTCCTTGCACTATTTCAATCAGCTCTTCTTACCAGGTATATTTGCATTCTGACCTTAACTTGGAATTTCACTTTACAATATTGCTTAACAACCAAAGAGTGGTGTGGCCTACAAGCAGTGGTCCTGGACATATCCACTGCCCATACTCAGTTTCCTATAGCTTTGCCACATATCAGCCTTTCAGACTCAAATTTTATTTTTCAGGTATT